TCTTTAGTTGAGCAGCTATATCCCTCATGCGCATGATGTGCTCACGCACACCTCTAATTCCGATAAGCTTTAGAGAAGAGAACTTCATTATAAGGATACTGGCCAATGCCTTGTCAGAAGACACAAACTGATCATCAATTGCCTTCAATAAGACACGAACATTGTCATATTGCTCGACCGAACCCCATATCCCAGCAGAAATTTTGGTCTTTATGAACATAACGCAGAGACGATTAGATCGTTCCCACCTTTCATAAAGAACCACTTCTGCTGGAGTGCTTTTATCAGTTATAGCAACCGGTTCATCCTTCCTAATGGCATAGTCAATGTCCATACACCCCAAATGAAGAAGTATTTTCTCCTTCCAAATTTTATAATTGTCCCCATTGAGCTCAGGAACATCAATTTTCATATCAGAGTGATTAACAGGTTGAATAACTGCAACATATAATAATCATGCTCATATTAACAAAATTGAAACTAAAAAAAAATATTACATGTTATATCAATATAGAACATGTCTAAACATAAATCTAGAGACATAAAACTTGCCTGTGGGCTAAAGTTTTAATTCAATTAGATTTACAAATTTCATGATAAAACTATCAAATTACCACCATTTTCTAATTCCTGTGGGCAAATTAGAAAATTAATTTAATATTTTATCCTAATTAATCACACAAATATAGTAGAAATTCCTGTGGGATAAAATCTACCATATTTTATATGAAAAATCACAACTTATGTTATATATCCATATGTGGTTACCAACAAAATTTATATATAATTCCAATCAAATAAAGATGCTGTGGCTACTCCTTAATTAATTAAAATTATATCAACCACATAACATAAAAATAATAACTCATATAATTGTAAATCTATAGACAACTATCTATCCATGAGTTATATATTTAATATGCTTGACGAACATAATTTTATTGCATGCATAATTTTTAATTTTAAAACATTCAAGCATAAACGTATCAACTATATAATAATACTTAAACAAAGTTTTAATATCAAAAGCATTAAGACACATGCTAATCAATTCGCATGTCACTGGTAAAGACATAAAACGTCAATTACAAAACGCATAGAAGAACATGGCAGGATGTTAATGAATTGAGTATCAAATTTAATCTAACAAGCCATCTCGTATTCATGTCCCCATGTCCAACAAGATTTTTTTTTATTATTATTATTATCAACCATCAGCATGACAAAATCATAAAAACCAATAAATTTCATCCAAATTCATGAAACTTCACATGTCAATTTTATTATCAAATTTCATATTCAAATCCCAAAATAACTCTCCATGAACAAATTAAATTATTAACAAATCTAATATCACAATT